TCATCACCCCACTACCAAATATTATTCAGAAGGACTTAACAATGAAAACTTCTAGAACAAAAAGTACAAGAAATGAGACATAAATACTGAAATAGAGGAGACTGCAGATACAACAGTCTGAAAACCTAAAGCATCAAGTATTAAAACAAAATTCCAAAAGCCAGTTATATATAATGACCAAAAAAATAGTTTTTCTATAGTAAATCAGCAAAAAACTCCAGAATACTGTGTGATTAAAAAAATCATACCATCCACAACAACAAATACAAACTATCTAGGAATAACACAGAAACATAAAAGAGCTACACAAAGAGAATCTTACTAAGTTAAGTTCCATCTGTTGTTCAGTTGTTAAGTCTTGTCGGACTCTTTGCAACCCCATGGACTGCAGTGCATCAGGTTTCCCTGTTCTTCACCATCTCCCAGAGTTTATGGAAACTCATGTCCATTGGATCCATGATGCCATCCAACCATCTCATCCTCTGTCACCCTCTCCTCCTGCCCTCAATCTCTCCCAGCATCAGGGTCTTTTCCAATGAGTCAGCGCTTCACATCATGTGGCCAAAGTATTGGAGCTTCAGCATCAGTCCTTCCAATGAATATTCAGGGTTGATTTCCTTTAGGATGGACTGATTTGATCTCCTTGCTGTCCAAGGGACTCTCAAGAGTCTTCTCCAGCACCACAGTTCAAAAGCATCAATTCTTTGGCACTCAGCTTTCTTTATGGTCCAACTCTCACATCCATACATGACTTCTGAAAAAACCATAGCTTTCACTAGACGGATGGCAGAGATCCCTTCTCCTCTGGAAGTTACCTTAGTAAAACTGTCTTCGTATCTCCAATCTCTTCTATTCCAATATTTATATATCCCAACCTCTTGGATCAGTGCTTAGCACGGAGGAAATACTCAAAAATGTGGTAGATGACTGATGGACAAAAAAGAGCTTGACAGCAAGACATTCTTATTGCTGGATGAAAAAATACTTATTGTAAAAATATCCATCGTCCCCAAGTTGCATTGTGTGAGTGCTAATCGTGTCTGACTCTTGGCAACCCCATGGACTGTAGCCCACCAGGCTCCTCTGTCCATGGAATTCTCCAGGCAAGAATAATGGAGTGGGGTGTCATTTCCTCCTCCAGAGGATCTTCCTGACCCAGGGATCAAATTCATGTCTTTTGCAATTCCTGCACTAGCAGGTGGATTCTTTAACACCTTGGAAACCCAAACTGCATTAATAAACTCAATGCAACCTCTAAGAATTTCAGCGAAATTCTTTATAGAATGTGACAATTCTGAAGTTTTTTTTTTTTTAATGCAGAGCTAATCAAGAAATTTCTGAAAAAAACCTATAATGTATATAGACAAACACACACTATGAAACAGTAATTTTCTAAAATTATGAGAATTTAAATACATCATAAAATAGAAAAGAAAGAACTGAATAAGCTAAGCTATGACAAACCTAGATAGTGTATTAAAAAGCAGAGACATCACTTTGCTGACAAAGGTCCATATAGTCAGAACTATGGTTTTTCCAGTAGTCATGGACGGATGTGAAAGTTGGACCACAAAGAAGGATGATCACCAAAGAATTGATGCTTTCGAACCATGGTGCTAGAGGTGAGTCTTGAGAATCCTTTGGACTGCAAGAATATCAAGCCAGTCAATCCTAAAGAAAACCAACCCTGAATATTCACTGGAATGACTGACACTGACTCTATAATACTTTGGCTATCTGACGCGAACAGCCAACTCACTGGAAAAGACCTTGATGCTGGGAAAGACAGAGGCAAAAGGAGGAGGTGGCAGCAGAGGATGGGATAGATAGATAGCATCATCGACTCAATGGGCATCAATCTGAGCAAACTCCAGGAGGTAGTGAAGGCCAGGGGAGCCTGACGTGCTGCAGTCCATGCGATCACAAAGAGTCGGGCATGACTTGATTAATGAACAACAAAAGAAAGAATGAGAATTTAAATATATCATAAAATAGAAAAGAAAAAATTCAATAAATTGTATTAAAACTGTTAGAAGCCCTAAATTCACACCACATCCACAATAAAATTCCATATGGGATAAAAGCTAAACATAAAAAAGCACAGACATAAAGTTTAAAAGCACAGGGGAACTCTTGGCATGGGGACAACGTTAGGAAAAAAATTTATGAAAACAAGTAACAAGAAAAAAAATCTAAACAAGATACATATATAAATGAATCACTTTGCTATAAACCAGAAACTAACACAACTTTGTAAATCAACTAGACATCAATATAAAAAAAACCTTTGGCAGAAGGGGGAAAGAGATTCCCTGGTGACCTAGTAGTTATGATTCTAGGCTTTCACTACCTTGACCTCAGGTTCAATTCCCAGTCAGGTAACTAAAATCACACAAGCCATGAGGAGGAGCCAAACAAAAATTTAAGTGACATTTTTCACAAGGTAAAATTTTAAAGCTTCCATAATCAAAAGCTTAAAAAAAGGAATTGGCAATCCACTCCAGTATTCTTGCCTGGAAAATCCCATGGATGAAGGAACCCGACAGGCTACAGTCCATGAGGTTGCTGAGAGTTGGACACAACTGAGAGACTTCACTTTCACTTTTCATAGGGCAAGCACAATTTTTAAAAAGTCTATAACCCTAACATAATACACAAAGAATTCTTTAAAATAAGAAGTCAACCACTCAATAAAAAAGACAAATTATGTAAACAATTCACAGAAAAATAAATATAATACATGAAAAGATGAGTAATTTCAACAGATCTGGAAAACACAAATTACAACACTGAGGCTATTATTATCCTGCCTTATATCAAAGATTCTCAGAGCATGCTACACTGTCTTTTCATACAGTACTGTTGGAAGGATAAAGTGGTACCAATTTTTTTGAGATAGCTTGAATATAGCTACCAAAATTTAAAATACATGCAGCTTACACCACCATATTTCCACTTCGAGAGTTATCAATCCTCCAGAAATATTTGCTTCAGCACATCACGATTGTGTCTGTAGATGTTTAGTGCAGAATTTTCCACAGTAGTGAAAAAGGACATATAACTGAAATGTCCATCAATATAATACGGTTAATCAATAAATGGTGGAACCATATAACTCTCACCTACTGACACAAGAGAGATTGCCAAGATCTACTATTAGGTGAACAAAGCAAACTCGGGAACACTACATGACTCCATCACACCATAAAAGGCCACAGAGCTGTAAATGTGCCACTTACAAATGCACAGAAAGGGGTATCTGCCAAATATTTATTCAACATATACTACATGCCAGGAACCTGGAATACACAGCAGGTAAAACAGGCAGCATTACTGTCCTCAAGGGGCTTACAAACTGCTGGGGAGGAGAGATTAAAAAAAGAAGCTAACAGATAACCAAATACAATCACAAACCGGGACAAATGTTCTAAAGAAACAAGGTTGCCACAGAACAAAGATGAAGGAGGCACATAAGCAAGAGACGGACATACTTGAGACACAAAGAAGAATGCTCCAGGCAGGCCTCCAGGGAGACTGAAACCTAGGAACTGGCTGATGGGAGTTTGCTGAGGCTGGGAGCTGAGCCATGCACAATGCACAAACCTTGGTAAGCAGCCTGGTTTTAGTCTAAGAACAATGGGAGAACTGATGTGCAAGACAAAATGGAAGGAAAAACCCCAAATCATCAAGGGTAAAACCTAATCCTCTAAAACGGCATTTATCAAAAACTTTCTGGATTCAAATTTATTAGAGGACACCAACCAACTTTTATGTCAATTACATTCATTGCTATTTGCCATTTTCAAAACATGAGAAACTTGAAAAAATATGCAAGCACACATTCCATTAGCCATCAGTACAATAATGTCTTCAAGTGTGATACATGCAGCCTCTGGAAAACTCCACCACAGTCAAGTGAAAGAGTGAAACATGCCAAGCTACATTAGTATTACTAATGAAAATAGTTTTCCTGTTGACCCAGGAGTATCCAGACCTTTTGAAAATGATACAAAACTCCAGTAAGTAACCAATAAGGAAAGTAAAGCAAATATTTTCAAACTCTTAACTAGAAAGCCTCCGGGGTGGGGGGGCTGGGGGGGGAACCACGTGACAGAAAGAAGGCATGCACCAAACCATATTGCCTGAAGTCACATTTCAGCGCTTGTCTCTAAGGTTTTTCTATTTTGCCATAGGAACGCTTTGATACTTCAGCCAAAATTCCTAGACAGGATTGCTGCAATGTAGTCTTAAATCAGCATTACTGAAGAGTATACAGCAGAATGGCCTAACATTTCAAGAATGAGAATTCCGCCCGAATGCGGGTGGTGTTCACCCTTTACCACCTAAGGGTCCCCTTTGTCAGAGTTTCCGAACGATCAGAAAACTCACTTCCAAGTGTTTTACTCATATTAAAAACAAAAATAAAAAACCTCAGTCAACAATGTGATTTCAACCAGAAAATAATTTTACCTGAAAAAATCAGGTAAGGTGTGAGTTAGGTGCTCTGTCAAACTCATCTATGTTTAGAAGACAAGACAAAAAACCACTCAAGGGAAACGCTTCAGCATCTAAACCGTTTGTGCCCCAGTTCCACGCTCTGTAAGATGCTGACAACCAAGCACTAATGGGTCCGCGTTCAGACAACTAAGGAGTTCAGCTAAATTTAGAGCAGTCGCGGGAGGTTCTTTTTTCAGACTCCTTACTCTCAGAAATGCCCCCGCCAACACCTTCCCTCAGGTGCGTGCGCCTCAGCCAGGCCCAGTGAGGGGCCAGAAACCACGCCGAGCCCACCCGGACGACCCCAGCGGGGCCGCGACCCTCCCCCAGAGCCCCAGCGCAGGCTGCCCGCCGCCTCAGGTGAGCCTGACGCCTCAGCGCCGCGAGGACAAGGACCACAGAGACCCCGACCCCGCGAGCCTCCCGGGGTCACTACGACGGCCGGCACCGCCCCGCCCCCCGCCGCAGCCACCGCCGCCTCCCGCGCGCGGCCGTTCATTTACCTCCGGCGCCCGCTCCTCCGCCCGCTCCCAGGGCGGCCGCCATGGTCCTCGCTGGGCCCGGCCTTCAGCCTCGCCCCACCAAGCCAGCTGGGGGGGGCCGCCGGGCCAGCCGGGGCCCGGGGACGCGCGGCACGGGGCGGGGAGGACGGGGGACGGGGGCGGCGGGCCGGGCCTGGGTGCGGGAGGCGGCGCGGCCGGCGGGTGGGGGCCCTCCGGCCTGCTCCTCCGCAGAAAGAAAACAACAAACTATCGCAACATGGCGGACAGCTCGGCCCGCCGCCGCGGTGCACGCCGGGATGATGGCGGCCGGGAGGCGCCGGCGCAGGCCGTTCCCGCCGGCCGCGGAGGATCTGGGCCGCCCCCGGGGAAACGAAGGCCGAATGCAGAGGGCAAACTCGCGAGTGGCCACCTCGCTGGGCTTCCAGACAGCCCAGTATTGAACACGGGGGCCGGAGGCGGCTGCCGGCCGTAGTGCGGCCCCGGGCTCTGTCGTAAGGCGTTTTGCAGCAGTTGGCGCCGAGCTTTACGGCCGGCGGAAGTCCCTTTGGAAGTGGGAGAGGGCGGGCCCCGCGCCCCGCTACGAAGCGGCAGTCGGGTTTCTGTGTTTGGACTGTGAGGCGCGGGCTGGGGGCGGAGCCACGGCGCTGGGGCCCGACGTGGGGGGCGAGGGCGCCTGGGGCCGGCGGGACGACGCTCGGCTGGCGCTCTGCGGGCTGCGGGCGGCGGCAGATTTCGCCGAGCGGGTGGGCCGTGAGATTGTTAGACTGCGCTGAACGAGTGCGCGAGAGTTCGCACTTGAGGAGCGGGCAGGGTCGAGAGTGAGGTGCTAACGAGTGACAGAAAGGGGACCAGGGTGCGGAGGAGGCTGAGGGCTACTGGGGAGGAGGCGTCTGAAGACGACTTCCAACTGGGCGGCTGGGTAGGGTGAATGTAACTAGGCCTTTAGGTACAGACAAGTTACAGACGCTGGTGCAAGAACAAAGAATGTGAGGAATGTGGGGAAGGAAAAGGGTCTTTTTAGGTAGGAAGAGAAGGCTGAACGTAGCCGCAGAGATGCCAAAGGACTCCATATGAATCTTCAAGCAGTACTCGTGGACGCTGTTAGTAGAAAAGAATGCTTTATGGTGGAAAAGCCTAGAAAACTCCGCTTTAACCGATGATAGTAAACGTTTTCCCGTAACGGGGTAAATCAGAATTTTGTGCCACCTTAAAGGATGCAACAGGAAGAAACAGTCTCACTTAAGTGGTAATCCAGTCGCAGATACTTAACTGAGTCTAAACTTGAAGAAATAAGAACAAAAAAAGTTGAGGGACGTACCACAAAGAAGTTGGCCTTTAGTCTTCCGAAGTGTTGGAAGTCACAAAAGTCAAGAAAAGACAGAAATTTTTTCAGATTGAAGAAAGAATAGACATGACAGCTGAATGCAATGCATGATTCAGAACTGGGTCCTCTCACGCTTATTAGAACAATTTGCAAAAATCGGAGTCTGAAAATAAGATGGGAGTTATGTAGCAGAATTCACTTCCTTATTTTGGTGATTGCAGGTACTATGCAGGAAGAAAGTCTATGTTGGAAATACTATTACAGAGTCCAAGTTTGTACTTCTTGCTGCCTGGCAGGCCAGTAAATCAAGAGGCAAGGTGTCGGGGCAAAGACTAACACTTTATTTGGAAAGCCTACAGACCCAAGAAGATAATGGACTAGTGTCCCAAAGAACCATGAGTTAGAATTCAGGCTTCTTTTATATTAAAGGGGAGGAAGTGATTTTTACGAACTTACTGGGGCTAGAATCCTTTGTTCTTGCAGCTCTCTGCAAAGGTCTGGTCACAGCTCCTATAAACACCCCAGCAAGAGAAATGTTACTCTCTGTTCTGCAGCTTTTTCATCTGTACACAAATGGAAAAGTGCTTTACTCTTAAAGGTCAGAGCCATGAGAATGGGCTGTCCTGGATATCCAGGCTATAGGAAACATTCTTAACTACAGTGGAATACAAAGATCAAAAGAAACAGATCTGATATGGAATCAGATTTGTTCTTCCTTCTTACAAAAGTACCTTATGGCACATGAAATCAAAAATTTATTCTCAAATGGTTCAGAATAAAAGGGTTTTACTTTTACTCTGTATGAAGCTTTTCTAGAAAATTCTAATTGCTTCAAAACAGTATAGCACAACATTGTAAAGCAATTATACTCCAAGTTAATATTTAATGAGAGAACCAAAGAGTACGTTGTTTAAAAATGCCATCGTTTAATTGTGATGATGGTCTTAACAGGTATATACACATATCCAAACGTATCTAATTGTATACATCAAGTTTATGTATTTTTTTGTGTATGAATTTTGTATATCAATAAAACTGCAAAAAAATTCATTGTTGAAGTAAAACATGCAAAAGAGAAGTTAAACAGAAAAGAGACTTGAGAAAATTAAAGACAGGAAAAGATTTCCCAGAATATGCCACAAAAAAGAGGGGGATGGGGGTGGAGGGACAACATGAAGGAGAGTTTTGAAAATTGGAAGCTTGGAATGAGAAACTCAAATTCATGACAAATTGCATTGCAAAAAGAGAAAAAAGAGAACAGAAAAGAGACAATGGCTGAAAAGAGATGAAAGATACAAACCCACAAATACAGGAGGCATAACAAATATCAAGCAAGAAAAATAAAAGCCACACCTAGACATATATGGTAAAACTGAACAGCATCCACAAAGGAGATCTTAAAATGGCCATAAAGAAACTGCTTCTGGTCATGATGGAGACATGGGGACAGCTACACTCACTCCATAACTTGCAAAGACAAATTTGAAAAAACAAAATTGCTTTCCGACATTGGGCAACAGGCAGCACAGGCCTGTGGACACTGAGAGAAAAGAAACCTTATAATCGTCCAGCTTTCTACCTGGAAACAGTTTCTGACCATGAGGCAGGAGAGGACACTCAAATAAAACACAACTGTCTTAAAGACTTGAGGAGACAGACCAGAATTTAGAGGGGCTAACATGGGGCATTGTCGGGGGGTGGCAGTGCAGCTGATGGAGCGATGCTTAGGAAGAACTCCAGGAATCCACATGGGGATACCTTGAATGTGCTGCTGCAGGGAGAAATCCCATGAAGATCAACAAAGGACCAGAACAACCAGAAAGCTATAAATGGAACCATTCTCAGAGCTCTGGCAGAGCTGGGCAACCTTTAAACTTCAACCACCCAGAGAGGATAACCCTGGCTGATCACCCAGGACATTCAGAAAGACTCAAGAAGGGTTAATGCATTAGATCGAGGACAAACGAGCACTAGAATCTTCTAACAAAGCTTCTAAACAACTCTTGAAATGGTTTATGCTAATCATGTAATTTAATGGCCCACCAGAGCAAACTTCAGTTTTCTTTAATGAAAAACCAACCTAGCCCTCAATAAAGTAAAATTCACAGAGGCCGATGTTTAAAGAAAAATTACTAATGAAAGGAAGAAGCAGGAATATATGACCAATACCAGGAGAAAAATTAATAAACAAACATACATAACAGAGACAGAATTATCAGCCCAGGGATTTCTAAGACTTGATATAAATAAGCTCAAAGACTTAAGGTAAATGGGACCCTGATGAGGAAGGACAGAGAAGATATGAAGTGGAACTTCTAGAGGTGAAAAATGCAGTATTTGAAATTATTCAGTGGAGAGGAACAAAAGCAGATTAGAAATTTCCAGTTTCATCTCAGAGATACAGAGAGCTGGAAAGAACATCACTGCCAAGCTCATGACAAGAAAAAATTACAATCAATGGCAATTTTCTCAGTCCATCAGAGGACTGACAGGTTCCAGAGCAGCCAGCAGGAAATGGAGACACAGACATCTACAAGGAGGAGCAGGACCTGGGCCTTTGCTTACCTGGAGCAGACAAGTCCAGATATCTTAGAAGCTGGAGCTAAGATCAGCTAAAAATGTTCAATGACATCTAAAGGCCGCATGTGGGCTAACATGAGAGTATGAATCCCCTCAGAGCTGCAGAGGCAGAAAGACCTGCACCATCCTGCAGGCTTCTCCATGAACCCCATCAGGCATTGACCAGAAAGATGGGCAAAGTCCCAAGCGCAGCCCTTGTGTGGGCTGAGAAAGGGAACAGCCACCACACACACACACACACACACACACGCACACACCACACACCACACACACACACACACACACACCTCCTCATCTTCCCTCGAAAATAAGCTAACAAAAGTGTGGCCTTGAGGCAGTAGGGAACTCATTTTCACTGTGGGAATGGGACAGAGAAAGAAAAAGCCCTAGCTTTTTTGGTTGTTGTTCAATCGCGCTTCAGAAACATGTTTAAAACGTCAATCTGGACAGTGCTCGTGGGCATCACAGCTGACAGTGGCTGGTCCCCCAACCTTGTTACCTTCTTCCTTTGTTGTTTTAACAGAGAATGAGACGAAACTCACAAGGCTCCCCCACTCCCCAAGCGGTCCACCCAGGAGACATTCCAGTCTGAGCCTTTCCCCACCTTGTGGAGAACGTTGTGGAGACATTCCAGTCTGATCCTTCCCCCACGTTTGTGCAGTTACTGTACAATATGACTAATGAAACAGATCTGTGTAAAAGCAAAGAGAAAAACAGTGCTCCTGAAAATGGGAATGTTAACTTTCTAAGTTAATTCTTCTAGCAGCTAATGAATAGAACTCATCTTTTCCTGCTGGTCCCTGTTACACCCTAGCTTTCAGTGGGAGTTCAAGCTCCCCTCTTTTTTCTTGCTAACATTGTTTAATCTTTCCAAGTCCAAATGATTTGTGTTGTCTGAATATCCATCATTCTTACATTCACTGTCCTATTGTGGCGACTGATAAGTAGTCACTTGGGTGTGCCCTCCTCACCTTCTGGGTTACCTTCCTGAGGGCAAAGGACCTATATTTCTGGCTTATTCACTTCCTGTTAACATTAGCTGCCCACCAGCCAGCATGTGAGGGGGCATGCCAGCATGGAATGGGACAGTGGAGGCGCAAAACTGCCCGTGACGCTGCCCTGCCCCAGGGGTCCCCATCTGGTGTCACCAACAGTTCTGGGCGGTTCACATAAGAACAGCCCAGTCCCGGAGCGAATCTACAAGACCAAAATATCAAAACATGTTCTTGTTGAACACAATTAAACATCCATCCCCCTCTTGCAAAGCTGGCAACTAATTCTAATATCCTCAAGTACTGCCTGCAGACTGGAAAAAGAAATATGGTCATTGTGTATCGCAACTAAAAATTAAATTGCTGTTTACCATTTTGACTAGTGACAAATCTCGTGAGGCCACGCCTCCATGGGAGCCCTGAGCATTTTGAGCCCTGAGCCTTTTATGGTGCCTAACCTGGCAGCAGGCACATGTCCGGACTTTCATTTCCTCCTTTATGCACAAATGGCATTGAGGGCTGTACCAGGAGCACAGAAAATGTGCCACAAAGTTCCTGTAGCTTCTGAAATGGGAGGAAGGATCAGTGTCCTGCAAAGGGCTTAAACAGGGCAGAACGCTGGGCCCATTCCTTCTAGAATAATAGGAATGTAGAGAACAGAAGCCACTACCACAGTCTCCTACTCCCTCTATCTTCCATACTGCCCCCCGGGGTGGGCACTTAAGCTGGGGTAGGGGTTCGTCCTTCCACACAACAAGGTTGGAACAAGGTGGCCTGAGAGATGCCAGTGACTGTCCTTCTGAGCCTTGGGCTCAGATGTGAAGGAAGAGACAGGAATGACAGTGTCCAAAAATAACTTCTTGCCACTTCAAAGTCA